ACCAACCTGTCTTCTGAAGTAGATTGGGCTGTAAATCAGTTTTTTTCCTCTTTCTGTCCTCTTCACTTGTTTCTCAAAAATTTTTCTGCTTTTTTGATGCCTTTTTTTTCAGTCTTTCCTCTTCCTTCCCCTTTATCCATGCAGTGTTGCTCTTCTGCTGCTACCCAAACAATTTCCAGTGGCCACTGAAGTTCTGATCACAGTATTTCTCCTGATCGTGTTCGTCCGTACTATTTCTGGGGCCAAACTCAGATCATTTTCTTTATGCCTGTGCAAAGTGTCACACACTCACTCACAAAGGCATCTGTGAACAGACCAGGAAAAGCTGCCAGCAGTGCAATAGCCAAACATGGTCTTTGCCTGTGGTTGACTGAGAAGGCAGCACAGCGCGTTATTCCTCTATCTTCCACGTATTTTACTTGGCTGTTTGAGCACTTCATGGCCTGATTTCCAGATCACAGCTCCCAAGGCTGTCATTTTTCATGCAGCTTTACACAGTGGTCAAAACAGAAAACTAGACAGCTCACATCTGAGCAGTTCTAGAAGATTCTGGTGGTTTTAGAAGTGTTGGTATCACAAATCATCTCATACTGCTGCATTTTGGCATCTGAAGCAACGGACTAGCCCATATTTCCATGATATAAGTATCTAAATGCAGCAGTGTGTAATTTATGTTGAGTGCATCACCTGCTATTAAAGGAGCTTGGGACACTGGCATCTGCCGTGCTTCCTGCATGTGGATTTTGAGACCTGAAGTTTGATGTGGTGTGTAGGGAGACCATGTGAGTTTTGATGTGCTGTGGGAGATGAAGGGCTGCTGCTTACTCTCTTCTGGACTAATCGTTTGGGTGCTACAATTTGCAGGGGATTAAATCCCTTTTTGTGCAGTAGTTCCCTGCTTTAAGTTCAATATTAGCTCTTATTCTGCCTTCCTTTTGATGTGATGGGGAGAGCCTTCTGGCTGCTCATCAAATACACACCTATGCCACGTCCACCAGCCTCTCCGCAGATGGGAAAAGGGGTGTTCCACCGTGGCAGGGCAGGAGGGAGGTCGTCCATGCTGATGTTAGAGAAAGTGAGCTCAAGTAATGCACTTTCCTACGCCTTCCACCTTCTTTTCTTCCGCTAATTTGCTAATATGTATGTGGGCAGGGAGTGGCAACACCCCGTGATTCACCTTCTGACCAACAGATTAGCATAGCTTTAAAAAACCACTCCCCAGAAGAACCGCTCTCTAATTCCTCCAGTGCAAAAGTTTCGGGGAGGGAAGGGCAAAAGGGTTCTTTGCATAAATAAAATATAAAATTCATTATTGTTAAAACGAGGTACCCCAGTTCAGAGCCTGGACCCCCCCTGGATTGCACGTAGTATAACTACAAAGCAAAAGGGCTGTTCACACTCCAAAGAGTTGTAAATATGAATGAAAGACAAGAAGGGAAGAGACGAAAGAGCTGAAGGAAAGGAGGCAATGAGTCAGCATGATAGGCAGTGAACTCAGCCCGTTAGCCTTTTCTTGAACGTGTCTGTTACGAGCTTTTCCTGTTTCTCCCTTGCATCTCTGCACTTCTTTGGAAGGTGGATTAAGCTTATGAGCTTGTGATCTCCACCGTGTATTGCATTATTTCCCCATTCTGTCTTTCTCTCCTTGTCTCAAATGTCTTGGGTTGGCTGGTAGCCAACAGAGGAAAAACAAAGGTTATGTCCTGCGTTTTACCTCTGTCAGAAACTGGTATCTATGTTCAGCTTCTGAGGTGAGTACGGTTTCGAAGATTTTTTTCTTCCCTGGAAGGGCCAGAGGATAGCATATTCTCCACAACATGCATCAGTCCTTATTTTAAGGACAGCACCTCAATGTTTTCCTTGTCATGAGGGGCCCAAAACTGGACACAGCACTCGAGGTGGGGCCTCACCAGTGCCCAGTACAGGGGGACGATCACCTCTCGGGTCCTACTCACCACACTTCCTGATACAGGCCAGGATGCTGGTGGCCTTCTTGGTCACCTGGGCACACTGCTGGCTCATGTTCAGCTGACAGCTGACCAACACTCCCAGGTCCTTTTCTGCCAGGCAGTTCCAGCCACTCTGCCCCAAGCCTGTGGTGTTCATGGGGCTGGTGTGACCCAGGTGCAGGACTTGTTCAGTCTCATCCCATCGTCCTCAGCCCATCAACCCAACCCGTCCAGATCCCTCTGCAGAGCCTTTCTACCTACAAGCAGATCAACACCCCTGTCCAACTTGGTGTTGTCTGTAAACTTACTGAGGGTGCACTTGATCCTCTCGTCCAGGTCGTTGATAAAGATATTAAACAGAATAGGCTGCAATACTGCACCCCAGGGAACACCACTTGTGTCTTTCTTCTGTTTTGGTTTTGATGACATTTTATTATTAATTGTGTTACAGTAGCACCTAGAGGTCCTTGCTGAGATCACAACCCTTTTGTGGTAGTTATTGTACAGTAACATTTATGGAGAAAATCCATCCAAATTCATCCGAAAAGACATAGTTCAGAAGAGAGGAAGCTTCCCCAGTGGGGCTTAGAGTGAAGTCTGTGAAACTTTTTTACTGAAAAGAACATTTATCTTTGTTGAATCAATCCATATGTGACATATCCCACTGTGACAGGGAGTTCCTATGGTATGAGATAATGAAGTATACAAATAAGCAAAAATCTTACTGCTTTGAAAAATCACAATTTTATTGTCAGAAGTACAAAGACTTTAATGAAACCTAAAGTCCTAGCTGACATTTCCTTGGAAGAGTCTGTGTATATAGGTTTAAAGCACAGCAAATTGCAATTTTTTCACAAGGCAGCACCTGATCTTTAAGACACCAGAGTGGTTTATAGGCCAGAAGCTGATTGATACAAACAAAAATACTTCAATAGAGACAAGTATTGGCAGCAAGTTTTCTGCTTTCAGGTCCAGAACTTCACTCGCAGCCTCCATAATTCTCTTGGTTCCTGACCCAGAGTCTGTAGAGGCCACAAGTTTCCCTCCATTGGTTACAGTTGGATTTGGATCAGGTCTTACAGTAAGATTGAGAAACTTAATTTCATTTTCAGGGATTGCACAATAAAACTTTGGAGTCTATTTCAGCCCACCAAGGGCAAACTGCTTGAGATTTTTCCCTGTAAATTTTGCTTAGTTGATTTTGTTTCTAAATTTCAAGTGTCTTAACTGTGAGCAACCCTTACCATGAGCTCTTGTGATAAGGTAGTAACACCGAGGGAACTCAAAGGAGGGCTTGGATGGGGTCTGAACAATGCAAATCCTCTTTCCTAAACCATCAGCATCTTTATCATGAGCTTCTCGTTTTTTTCCATTTTATTCTTGACTGTTCACTTATCATAGATTAAAATATTCTTGAAGTTAACTTATTTTGGGATTCAGCTTTCAAATGAAGACAATTAATTTTCTAATTGTCTCTATATGGATATGCTAGATGTTTCCTGCCCAGCTTTCAGGTGGTAGTCTTGGTGGGGCACCGTCTTGTATCCTGTCTACAATCTTCACATACGTATTAGATAGCCTAGAACATCTCAAATTGCTGTAAGTATCTACATTTAGACAAGTACATTGAGACAACTGACTTACTTTCTAGTCAGAGAAAGAGGCAGGAATGTCCAATGGGGGATGTACCACCTGCATTAGGTGGTTTGCTGGGGTGAAATAACCTGTCTCCTGGAAATATTGATTGTCCTCCACCAGTGTGCAAGAAGCCCAGATTGTAAAAGGCAACTTACACTCAAGTGTGATGAGTTAATGGAGCAAAAGTAGGGCAGGGCATTCCCTTCTCCATCACAGCTCCTTCAGGTGATCACTGGATTTCAAATATTCACATTCAGTTGCCTTTGGGGTTTATGGCTAACTTGGACTGGGATGTAATTGTGTTTTCTTGTAATATGGTATCTTGGAATGGGTACTCAAGAATCTTGCTGTGGCAGCCAGAGGGAAGTGGGGAATCTGTTTACCAGAAGGATTTCCTTACAGGCTACTGCTCGGAAAAGATAATGGCATCTCTGACCAAAGAAAGAAAACTTTAATGTTGGACAAAATCTCTGCTGACAAACCAGTAACCACCATTTTCTTTCACTGGGGCATTTTCTGATCTGCCTCCCACCTTAAAAAAAAGCACCAAATATTTATTTAGAATAAAACACATTCCACCCTACTGACATTTATTTTTCTCCATTGACTGTGACAGCTAAAGCAGATGAGAACATCTACCTTGTAGTGTTTGAGTTCCAACCATGCCCACACTTTTCCTTAGGCTGAGATCCATCTGAAAATAACAACCACCTCTCCTACAATAAATCACAGAATCACATTTTCGCTGAGGTTGGAAGAGGCCTCTGGAGACCATCTCATCCAACTCCCTTTTTCAAAGCAACTAGAGCAGGTTGTTCAGGTGTCCAGCTGGGTTTTGAGAATCTCCAAGGATGAAAACTCCACAATATGTCTGACCATCCAGCGTTTGGTCACCCTCACAATGAAAAAGTTTTTTTCTTAAGCTTAAATAGAATTTCCTGAATAAATAAATAGATAAATAATCCAATACAATAAAGGTGAGACAGCAATTACCTCTAAAATCCTGGGTTTTCACCAACTGCAAGGAATTTAAAGGGCCCTTTAAAATAATTTAATTTTACTGTAGTGATAAACTCCTTGCTTTGGGCCAGACCTATAACGTTTGTCCATCTGGAACAAGATGATCTTTAAGGTCCCTTCCAACCCAAACCATTCTATGATTGTATATCTTCTCCCTTAGGCAATCTCTCCCACCCCTTTCCTATTTTAGGAGATTGGATTAAAACATAAAAGAGCTGAAATTTCACTGGAAAACTGCTGCAATGGAGCCTGCCAACAGGCTCTTCTAGACCCTGAAGTTCTCCAGAGCTGTGTTTATGTTATTTTAGTTGAAAAGTCAGTTGCTTCTGGGTCTGGAAAAACCTAGTGCTGCTCTATTGACTCATGGTGATCCACCTGCTCTTCTCTTTCTAGATCGACAGCATGCAGGCTCTGCTCCACTGCCCCAACGTGCTGGTGTGTGTCGGCCGGGAGCCATTTAAACCCGTATCAATGGAGAATTTGAGGAAACACTCGGTGGAGAAGCTGCCTGACCTGGCTCCCCGCTCCAACGGCAACAACGGCAATGAAAACAATGACAGTAAGGAAAACTCTGGGTCGTATCGCACGGTCACCTCCAGGCCTGTGTCCCACAACCTGGGGGTTACCTATTGTATGGCCCCAAAGGGCAGATTTCATGTGCAAAATGCACTTTCCTCTCTCTGCCTCCCAGGCCTTTCCATCCTCCCCTTCTTTTCCTCTGGTTTCCTTCTAGGATTTCCTCCCTACACCCTCCAGTCTTTCTTTTCCATGGTCCCCATGTCTGGCTGACTTCCCTTCCTCTTTCATATCTCTGTGTCTCCTTTTCCTTTAAGAACTCCCTCCTTTTCCTGTGTCTGCCTCCAAGACTCCCCAAACCCTTGAGATTTCCCACGAATCCTCTGTCCCCTTGTCTGTCTGTTACAATGCTGGCACTTCTGCTTTTGCCTGCTTCAGAAGATGCCCTATTTTTGTCAGCAGGAGACTCAGTTTCTCCTGCAGGTTACAGCTGCAGTGTAGCCCTTTGGGAACAAAGCTTGTTTTCATGGAAAGGTTATGTTCAGGAAGGAGTATGCTATGGGTTATTCAGAATGATATTTCTTATGCACTTCATCATGAGTTATCTAAGGTTTTAGGTAATTAAGTCAGCCACCTTTGGTACCCTATGAAGAGAAACCTCCTGTTTCCAGGGAGTAATTCATCTCATCTTCATTAGGGATTTGGTTTAGGATGAAATGAAGTCTTCTCTCGAGGTGCACCTATTTCTATCCATTGTCAAGACCAGGAGCTAGGAAATATTCACCCACGTGTTGACAATTAATTGTAGAAACTTAAGGACAGAGGCGTCCCACACTCACTGCTTGAGGCACAAAACGTGGGAGGGAGCAGTGGGAATAAACTGAAGCTCTTTGTCCATCAAGAAGCTGACCAAACGTGTCAGCTCAAATGCATATCTAACCACACAGAAGCTATTTCATGTGTTACTGATCTTGGTTGGTGTGGTCCCTGTTCAACTCCTCCTCCCTAGAACACCCTCCGTTCAGCCTCATATCCCCATGCCCACAGAGGCATGTGGCTGTCTCAATGTATAAAAGTAAGCTTAAAGCAAACATATGTATTAGAAACAAAATAGTGCATATCTTGCAAGACAGAATGATAGCAATGTGATCTGCTTGAAATTAGGGTCTGGGACCTCAATAAATCTATGCAGATCACTGCACTGGGCCATAGAGATGTGCTTAGGATTGCAGTTCTTAAAAGTCCCTACTGTCACTGATTTCCTCGAGAACTACCACTGTTTCTCTTTGTAACTATCAATCACCAGTTTACAATTCCTTTTTCATTTGTTCTTTACATTTTAATAAGTATTATAATTATTCATGGTGGCACATCCCTGCAGGGACTGAGCACTGCTCTGGTCTACACCTGTGTTTTCTGGCAGGTGAGTGGAGAAGTGGATGATGCACAATAAATGCATGACACTTCACCTCGAGTTAGAGGAAGAGGGTCACTTCTCTATGTATTTTTCCCTGACTGAATAAGAGTGATGAAAACTTGAGCAGTAAAATAAGAGGATATTTGCAATGTGATAAAACACAGAAACTTTGAGAACAAATTGCTTTGTATGTATATTCTTTTCTTCCTGACGTGCACATAATGCAACAAAAAAAGTGCTTCTGTTTCAGTTTAGATTTATAAAAGCAATAAAGTTCATGTATAGAAGATCTTAATATAGACTATTCATTTAAAACATAACACTTATGGTCATTACTTAGTCAAAGCCAAGTTTGCAAATTATATGAACAAGCACAGGCCATAGGCTTAGCTTTAGCAGAATAATATCACTAGTTTGAGGGTTTGATCTATATATTTTGTGTCACCTTTATATGAGTTAACATTTCTCTCCATCTTTCTTTTCTTTGGCTTTTTCAAACTCCAGTGAACTTTGGACTGAAAGCCAAAAAAAGTGTTATTCATCCACGGTCATCATCAAGCAACAGGTCGATGAGATTTTCGTTATCATCAGAAAAGTCCTACCCTAATGGTCTCGCTGCCTCACCGGATAACGGCGCACCTTTCTCCAACAGTTGCTCACATCCAAAACCTGGGGACCTGGTCCATTCCTTGGTCAATGACGACATAGAAAAACGGGTGCATGTGAACAAGGATGGCAGCCTGTCTGTTGAGATGAAAGTTCGCTTCCGCTTGCTAAACGATGAGACTTTGCAATGGTCCACCCAGATCAAGAAGTCCAATCTGATGAACCAGATGCCTTGTGAAGAGTCAGGTGTGGAGGACAGTGGAGTAGATCCCATGCAGAAAATGAACCCAGAAGCCAGCTCAGAGGCAGATGAGTCATTATATCCCTGTGATATTGATTCTTACATGTCAAAACTTGAGGAATCAGAATGTGACGAGGCTCATTGTCATAGCTGTGGCAAGAAACATCAGGACTATGACATCTGGAAAAATCCCATGCACACATCCCAGAGGGAAGAGCCCAGCGTACGAAGCACCTGGCACACACGGTCGTCATGCTCCAGTACATCTTCCCGGAGGAGAGTAGTCCACAAAAAAATGGCTTCCGTGGATAGCCTCCACACCACATCCAGTGAGGAATTTTCTGAGCACATTGTGCAAGAGTCCTCATCCTACTCAGAAACTATAGAGAACAGAGTGGCATATCGATCCATTAAAAAGTGTAGGTGTCGCAGTGATTTGTCTACAGGTGCTTCCAATGGAGAAGACCAGCAAGAATACACTCGGACAAGCACAAGCAATAGTCAGAGACCTTCATCTTTGGGCTTAATGTCACATTCAAGCTGTGAAAACAACCTGGATACTCAGGATGCCCCTGAAGACCATGAAGCCAGCAAAAGCAATTCACAAAATGAAGATGAAAACTGTTGTGAAGTTTCCTCTGTGAAGTGCTTAAAGGATGATGTAGAAGAGGTTGAGAGCAGCAGAGTGGGGAGTGTCATGTCAAGGTCATCTCTGCAGTCCAGACAGAGCAAGAAGAACATATGTGAGGAAACAAGTAGCGTGGGTAGGAGCATATCCTCATCCAGCCTTCAGAAGGCAAATCACGAAGATAACACTAGGTGCTCCACCCCTGCCAACAGTGTGTACAGCAAGTCTAGTAACTGTGCTACACCAAGAGCAAAGAGTGAACAAGACGACCACTCTGATGACAATGCAGTGGTCTCTTCCTTCTCCAGTGAGTCCTGCCCTAAAAAAGAGGCTGAAGAGGTTGAAGCAGAACAAGAAGAAAATGAGATCAGTGAAGTCAGCTCAGTTTCAGCAAAAACAAAGCCCAGCCAGCCAATAAGAGATGAGAGCAGTGAAGGCGAGCGATGCTCTACACAAGGAACCCCAAATTCCAGAGCTAGTGACAGGAACAGCAAGAGAAGTGAGAGTGATGAAATCATTCAGTGCAATGCCTCATGCTCTTCCAGAGGATCCAAAAAGAGCAAACACAGCCATATTCATATGGATGCACAGTCTGAAATGTCTGTGTCTTCACTTGGGTCCACGCCGAATAAAAAGAAGAATTCCCTACATGCAGATGACCTGAGATCATGCAGCAGGGCATCTAATTACTCCAAAAGCTCATGTGAAATCAAGAAAAAATCTATCGAAGACCCCATGTCTCATAACTCGGGATCTTTCCACTCAAACATTTCATCTACTAGTGAAGCAGAGGTAATTGCAGGTGTTACTGAGGAGAAAAGCTTGAAAAGTGCCACCAATGGCTACAGTGAATCCTCAAAAGGCTCAAAGAGAATCCATAGAGAAGAAAACAGCAGGCCATCATCCCTCTGCTCAAGTGTTTCAAGCCCTAATCAAAAAGCTGGAGAGGGTCATTCCAAGATGAATTCAGAGATGGCTTCTTCAAGACATGGAAGTATGAGTGAGAGTGTATGTTCAAAAGGTGACCTCTCAGCTGAGGCTGGGATTAGGAATGGAAATCCTGAAAGCGTCTCTTCAAGAGTCTCTTCAAAGTCAGAAGAAAAAGATAAATGCATGTTGACACAGATATCCCAGGAAAGTGATGATAGGTGTTCACAATCAAACATGTCTCAATCTTCAAAATCAAGGCAGGTAAAAACTAGACATCTTCGTGTGAAGATGTCAAACTCCAGCCGAGCTTCATTGTCTGAGACTTTGTCAGTATGTAGTTTGCATTGCCCTGCCCCACCAAAAGGGAAGCCAAACAGCAAAAAAATACGGTCAGCCATCCTGAAGAATTCCTCCATTAGCAGCATAGGTACTGAATCAGTTGTAGCTGCAGGAAAAGAGCAGAAAGAAATTATAGATTCCTCCAAAGCAACTTCCTATGGGTCTAAATCAGCTGCAACCGAAGTAAATGATCAGAAGAATAAAGAGATTGATGACTCTTGCAACAGAAAAGTGGATGAAGAGTTAGAGGGCACGGACAAGCAGGAGGAAGGGAGTGACTTAATGCCATCTACTCTACCAAATACATCTCCAGAAGAAGTAGTGCAAGAATGGCTAAGTAAAATCCCTTCAGAATCATTGCTTATGAAATATGAAATGGAGGATGGTGCAGAAGAGGAATGTATAGAGGCAACCACTGAGGTATCATACTGTACAAACACTGAGGAAATCTCAGAGGATGAAAAAGCTGAGAAGAAGAATGTGGAGGAGGCTGAAAACGAGGCAAAGGATGAAGTGGGAAAAGAGACAGAAGAAGGCACTGCAATTAATGAAGAGGTTGAAGAATGCGTAAATCAGGAAAAAATTTCTGAGGTTGTGCCTGAAGCTGCCAAGGCTGACCAGGCAGAATGCAGCCAGTCAGTTACATCCAGCCAAAATAACAACAGAAGAGACCTGCCAACATCTGTCCAGACTTCCGTCCAAATCATGAAGGCCTTGCTCAGTTCAAAAAATGAAACGAAATTTGACCGATCAAACAGTTTGCCTGAAGTGTCCCCCACTATGGGGAGAAAACTGAGTAACTCTGCCAACATTTTGATTACTTGTCTTGCCAGTCTCCAGTTCCTTGATGAAGAGTCAGAAGATCCATCAGATAAATCAAAACATTTGAACAAGCCAAGGTATATGGAGCTGCTAAATATTTTTCAAGCCCTGTGGTTTGGATGCACAGCTGAAAAAAGTGGTCCAAGTTCAGGTCAAGAGGCAAGTGAGCCAGCAAAGACAGCCTCTGGCTTTAAAGTCCCAAAATCTACAGATTATGACTTCACTCCCATGTCCTCCTCTGGGGTTGATGTTAGCAGTGGTTCTGGTGGCTCAGGAGAAGAGACTACAGCTGCTGCCAGGGACTGCACATTAATGGCACAGAAAATGGTTGAATTCAAGTCAGCTGGACAAGTGGAAAATGTGGAGGCTGGCACTGAACTGACTGAGGTTGAGGAACAAAGTAAAGAGGAAGTGCAGTCATCCCGACCTTCAACAGCCTGCTCAAAATCAAAAGGTGAAGAAGCAGCACAGCCTACTAGAGAGGAATCTCTAACTCAGGAGGCAGAAGAGAATAAGGAGGATCAGTGCAGTACCTGTGAAAACGCTCAGGAGGAAGGGGGAGAAAATGAGAACGGGGAAAATGAAAATGGAGAAAACGGAAATGAAGAAACCAGCAAATTAGCTGAGAATGGAGAACAGGAAGATCCTGAAGCTGTAAATGGTGAACTACCAAAAGAAAATCTTGAAGAGGAAGCTGATCAGCTAGCCACTACCAATGATGCAAATGTCAATGTTGCTGATTGCGGGGCAGAACTGAAAGCTGATCGTAGCCACTACCACTACCAATGATGCAAATGTCAATGTTGCTGATTGTGGGGCAGAACTGAAAGCTGATTTGGAAGAGCAACCTGAAAAAGTGTCTGCAAATGACCCAAAGCCCAGTGTCAACATGGCCACAAGTGTGGGCCCATCCCTTGTCCAACAAAACTCAGTGGATCCAGACCCAACCTGGGTCCTGAGGCTGCTCAAGAAAATCGAGAAGGAGTTCATGGCTCACTATGTCAGTGCCATGAACGAATTAAAAGTCAGGTGGAACCTGGAGAACAACCAACAGATGGATGAAATGATACTCGAACTGAAGGAGGAAGTGAGCAAAAGGATACAAAAAAGCATAGAGAAGGAGCTGAGGAAGATCAAAACCAGGGCAGGGAAGAAGACACCGAGACCTCCGGATGAACCACTCAAGCGTGAGTCAACACTCCAAACTGAGCAGAGAAGACGGCGATTGCAGACTATGCATAAAAAGTCACTCTTCAGTGACAAGAATGGAACCCAGAGTAGGCTAGAGGACACATCAGACTTATCATTTGATGTAGATGAAGATACAGCATTCAGTGCAGCTTTTGAGGCCAGCATTAGTAAACAAACTAGTGAGGAGGAATACTGCCCATGTGACTCTTGTGTGAGGAAAAAATTGGCTTCCAAGCCTTCAAGAAACCCAGTGGTGGCCGCCAATGCTCCAGTCACGAAAGCATTTGATTTACAGCAAATCCTGAGGTTGAAGAAAAATGATGAGGAAGTCTGTGTCTCAGAAGCAGCTCAGGACACCAAAACAATTCCTAGAAGTTCTGTGGAGGAAGCAACAGAAAATGGCAATCCAGATGATGAGAATAATGAGGGTGAGGTTCAGCCAAGGGAAGTGGAAATGGAAGGTAATGAAGAAAAGGAGCCAGAATTAAACGAAGTTGGCAGCTCAGTGTTGAACGAAGATGGAGAAGTACCTGAAATATCAGAGAGTCAAAACTGTCAGATGGAGGACGAGGCTAAAGATGAAGAAGAAAAGGAAGAAGCGGAAGAAGCAGGGAAAGAAATGAAAGAGAGAGAAGAAGAAGAGGTTGCAAAAGAGGAGGAAGAAGAGAAAGAGGAAGAAGAAATTATGAAGGAAGAAGAAGAGGAAACAAAAGAGGATGCAGATGGAGGAACACAAGAGAAAGAAGATGACGAAGTAAAAGAGGAATCAGGAGAAGAAACAAAAGAGGAAGAGGAAATAAAAGAGGAGGAAGAGAAGGAGGAGGAGGAAGAAGAGGTGAAGGAGGAGGAAGAAGCAAAAGAGGAGGAGGAGGAAGTGGGTGAGAAGGAGGAAGGAATGAAAGAGGAGGAGGAAGATGTGGAGGAGGAAGGAGCAAAAGTGGAGGAGGAAGATATCGAGAAGGAAGACACAAAAGAGGAGGAAGAGGAAGTGGAGGAGGAAGAAATAAAAGAGGAGGAGGAAGAGGAAGTGAAGGAAGAGGAAGAAGAAACGAAAGAGGAGGAGGAGGAAGAGGAAGGGAAGGAAGAGGAAGAAGAAACGAAAGAGGAGGAGGAGGAAGAGGAAGGGAAGGAAGAGGAAGAAGAAACGAAAGAGGAGGAGGAGGAAGAGGAAGTGAAGGAAGAGGAGGAAGAAGCAAAGGAGGAGGAGAAGGAGGAAATGAAGGAAGAGGAAGAAGCAACGAAAGAGGAGGAAGAGGAGGAAGAAACAAAGGAGGAGGAGAAGGAGGAAGTGAAGGAAGAGGAAGAAACAAAAGAAGAAGATGAAGACAAGAAGGAAGAGGAAGAAACAAAAGAGGAAGAGGAAGAAGTGCAAGGAGAAGAAGAATTAACAAAGGAAGTTGAGGAAGCAAAAGAAGATGCAGAAGAAACAAAAGAGGAGGAGGAAGAAGTGCAAGAAGAGGAGGAAAACCCAAAAGAGGAGGAGGAAGAAGAAAAGGAGGAAAAAGAGGGAGCAAAAGATGAGGAAGAAACAAAGGAAGAGGAGGAGGAAGCAAACGAGGAAGAGGAAGAGGAAGAAGAAGAAACTCAAAATGAAGAGCAGGAAGCTGATGAGAAGTCCAAAGCTGAAGATGAAGCTGACGATGAAGCTGAAGAAGCAGAGGAGCCAGAGAATGAGGACATTGGGGCTGATGATGAGGAAGAGACATCTGAATGCAGAGGAAATGCTGGAACTGACAACAATCCTGAAGGAGATGCTGCAGAAGGAAGTGAAGAAGCTGAGCAGGATGAAGCTGTGCCAGTGGAAGATGCAAATCTGGAGTCAGAAGTTGAGGCACATTCTGCTGAGGAAGAAAACAACAGTGAGGGAGGTGACAAATATGATGAGGGTGATGAGGAACCTACCAGTGATGACCCTGACAAGGCACATGAAGTCAAAGGCAATAATAAGGTTTCTGAGAAAGCCTCAAAGGCCAAAGGCCATAAAAACAACAAAAGGCTAGACATTCTGAACAAAGCAGCCGCCTTTTCTTGTTATTCTTCCGTGGGAAACTTCTCACAGCAATCCCAGAAGGGGTCTGAAGATGAAGGTGAAGAGGAATGCAAAAATGACAACAGTCCCATGAACAACCACTCCAACGGAGAGGTTCAAAGTGGTGATAGCAGCAAGCCCTCACAGATGTATCCTGACAGTGACGAAGAAGAAGAGGACAAAGCATCTTCATGCACTGATCCTTTGGGAGATGAAGATCAGGCAGATGCTGAAGGTGCAGATCCAAAGGAGGGTGAACCTACCGAGGAAATTCAGGATTCTAAAAAGAAAGAAGACTCTGATGAGATTGACCAGGATGACCTGGACTTCTAGAACTGCTTATCAAAAACTGCTTTTTTTTCTTTATTCCTTTCTTTCTTTTTTAAAGGTATATTTTCATTACATATTACAGTATCTCCAGTGAGTTGAGCCATCATAATTGACTTTTCCTCTGAGTTAAATGTGGTAAACTTGGTCTCGAATCCTGTGAGTAACGTTGCAATTACCTGCCCTCATTTCTAGAGGGCTAGTAAACTCATTAAGATTTAGTGGTTTCAATAGAAAAGTGGTTTTGGGAAAGGGAAGGCCGTTTTGTTTGTGATACCTTCTTGTTCCCATTCTTTAAGCCATGCTGTTGTGTTTGCTGCTTGAGTGATCTGTGGCTCTGCTGGGCATCATCTCTGAGTGACTTCAGGATGCCTTTCGTCTGTTGCATGCCGTTGTCCTGGAAGGATTGCCAATGCACAGAAACATGACAAAATCTGGACTCATTGCCAAAGTCTGGTCAGAGCCCACAGAGATGTACATTGATTTTCCCCCTACCCTAATTCTACCCTACCTTCTCTGTACCCAGAAAAGGGGTCTGAGATACCAAAGTCTTTCCCCACCATCTCTATTTTTCTTTAGAAGAGATTGAGATCATTCCTCACTTCACTGGAAATCCTCCACAACCAGAAAGGTCATTCCAGTAGATCTCTCCTCTTCCAGACCATCAATCTGTTTGTACTTTGCCCATCACCGTAGTATGTAGCGATGTAGCAGTAGATAACAAAGAGATAATTCACCTGTCAGGTATCTGAGAAGTGGTTGAGTGCAATATTGACCAAATTAGAGACGATTACACTTCCTTGTAATCACCTTTGCTATGCCAATGGTGGTATCTAAGCACTTTACAATCATCTGGGATCCCTCAAGCAATGTGGTATGAGGCCCTGTTCCAAAGCTAATCAGATTTGCAGCTGCTCAGTGCCTCACCCTTGCAGACAACCAGTAATATTTAAACTAATTTTACCTTTGACATGGAAAAGATTTGGGTGTTTGTGCTGCAGCAAACAACTGGAAGAGGCTCAAGTATTTACTGGAGATCTTGGATTTTACAAATCATGATAGAACTGCAAACTTCATTTACAATTATTTTCCACCAGAATATATATTTATTTTTCTGGCACTGTGGTATGAGGCCCTGTTTCAAAGCTAATCGGATTTGCAGCTGCTCAGTGCCTCACCCTTGCAGACAACCAGTAATATTTAAACTAATTTTACCTTTGACATGGAAAAGATTTGGGTGTTTGTGCTGCAGCAAACAACTGGAAGAGGCTCAAGTATTTACTGGAGATCTTGGATTTTACAAATCATGATAGAACTGCAAACTTCATTTACAATTATTTTCCACCAGAATATATATTTATTTTTCCACGGGGGCAACATATAAATTTATGAATAAATAAGCAACTAATGCCAGGAGAAGTTTGACCATGCCTCAGCTGCAGACATGTTTATACCTCTATGGGAAACAGTCCATTTTATCAATAATTTGCAGGGAGAGTAAAACAGCAAAAAACTAAGAGGGTAAAAACAAAATGCCTTAAATTGTATGGTGAAAAAGTATGTGTGTAGTATTGTGCCAGTTTTCTGAAGGTGCATGCAGACATGTTGAGATAATCAATATTCAAAATCAAGTTGTTATTATTTTAAGAATTAATTTCTTAAACTCATAGACAATAATCTGATTTCCAGAGATAAGATTTCACTCAAATTAAGAATCGGGTTCTTTTCTGAAGGTGCATGCAGACATGTTGAGGTAATCAATATTCAAAATCAAGTAATTAATATTGTTATTATTTTAAGAATTAATTTCTGAAACTTATAGACAATAATTTGATTTCCAGAGGTAAGATTTCACTCAAATTAAGAATCGGGTTCATCTCCAGATATGCATACTTAATTTTAGGTGTCTGAAAAATAGTGGCCTATGTGGAGTAGTCAGTGGAGAGCTAGATCTCAGTTGAGCTGCCCTCAATGCCATCTGAGAGCCTCCAGGGACTCCAAGAGAAAGCACCGTCCTCAAGACACAGAAGGCAAGAAAGATCTGAGCCTTCCCAAAAAGAAGGGCAACCCCATCTGTTAGTCTCACGTGGATGTCTTGGGTTTCCTAAGACACCTCAGGTGGGCCTACATCTCTCCCTAGATGCAACTCAGTTGAACCCTGAACCTGTCTCAAAGTCTAGTATCTTGGCTCATCTGATAGTCTCAGTTCAAGGTTTTCTCTGTAGACATTTCCAGACCTAAGATTACTAGCTTTCAAACAGCTTAAGATCTATGTAGTTGTTTAAGCACAAAAGTTTAGTGCCAGTTGAGAGGGCCTAGAAAATCCAGTATCACGCCCCAGTGTTGGTCTGACGGGGTGCAGATCTCCTGTAACTCCAGAGTCATATCACAAGCTCCTTGTAAATGTCAGGGCTGCTCCAGGGCATCTTAAACTGCATTAGTCATGGATATAAAAAACCTGAATCATAGAATCCACCCCTAAATCTGTGTAAACAAATCCTACCTCAAGAAACTGAAATGCAAGGTTAAAACAAAATGTTAAAACTCAATTGGCTTTGAAGTACAGGAAAAAGAAAACTCATTCTCCTCTGACACAGCAATACTTACGCATTTCGTAGTATCTCAGTATTGCACTAACAGGTTAATTCCTATATCTAGAATACATGATGAACACCATATCTGTTCCAAGGACCAGTGCTGTAGCTTCTGTACCATTAAAGCTCCCTTTAAGGTGCTATTTGAAGGTTGAAGCAGAAACTGTTGTGCATGAGCTCAGTGCTGGCCTTTGCACATAAGTGAACATTGCTTGTGCGGGCTGGATTTGATTGCAAATGCCTTCAAGAAGCCACTGTTCACAACAGACTTAATAGTCCTACTGAATCCTTCTTGTCTAGACCTACGCTCATGGTTAAAGACAGCACCCACACAGCACCAGTGAACCCTCTGGCATTCACTGTCTGGGTCAGAAAGAAACAGCGCTGCCGCAGGGAAATTTTCCCCGTCTGTAGTGATGTCCTATGACATCAATATTCTGACTCTGTATCAAACTTTTCCACAAGCCAATTCCAAAACACTCTACAAGGTGTCCAGGGTGAGAAACGTCAAAAATACGCCTACATCCGATGATTTATAACTAAGGGAAAGGCACCAAGGAGAAAGTTACTGCTGGACTGGATTCATACCACTAACTCCAGACATGTGCGTCAGATGTTTAGTCCTGGGGTCTCCAAGCAACAGGAAGAGACAAGGTCTCCCAGCAATTATTCAGACTGCCATACAGGACAGCCCATGGACTGTCGCATTCTAACCCAGAAACTTTGAACAAACATTTTAATTCAGGCTGTGAACTACCTGTGCAACTTGGAAGTTGGCCAGGTACCACCAGGCTGCTTGGTTCAAAACCCAGCCTGGGGACATTGAGTGAAGGGGACAGTGGGGAGAGGGAGGCAAAGAAGAGCGTGATTCACCTGCTGTAGACAAGTGCATTAGGAGGACAGGAACTGCATGCTCAGCAGGCCTGTTTCTCTCTGCTGAGTGCACTGGGAGCCCAGACAAGTTGCTCAGATGGAGATGTCTCAAGTAGGAAGAGCTGATCCCAGTGTAGCCACCCAAAACCATCATACAATGTTTACTGTGGTGACTTGCCAGGCAACAGCTCATGCCAGTCACCCCATGGAAGGTTTGTTGGCTCCAAGATCACCCTTCCCTGTTATTGCTAAAAAACACTGCTGGAACTTAATGGGTTAGTGGAAGGGCAAACATTTCCCACGATTCTCCAGCTGTTGATTTCACTCACTTTAAAACCATTTGTGCAGAGCTGACATCAACACTGCGTTGAGTAGGTAAGTTCCCCACTTGCAGCACCAGCAAGGAGAAAGAAAGCAAATAAAACACGAAAATGCAGTCATCAAACCATGAGAACTGAAATCACTGGCATTCCCCACCAAGAGACCTGTCCCCACTCATGTCTGCCTTTGTCACCTTCTGTGTTTGGGCAGTGACTCGTGCATGTGCCTGTCCTCATCAGGGCAGCGTGGACCTTGCACCCATACAGCCTGCTCACAAAAAACTCCATTCTGATGGGCTGGGGAGTGGTTGCAGTCTCGGTCCAGAAGACAGATATTGCTGAAGTAGGTTATTTCCTCACAACAAGAAGGACATTGAGGAGCATGTCCAGAGAAGGGCAACGGAGCTGGTGAGGGGCCTGGAGCACAAGTCTGGTGAGAAGCAGCTGAGGGAGCTGGGGGTGTTCAGCCTGGAGAAAAGGAGGCTGAGGGGAGACCTTCTCGCTCTCTCCAACTCCCTGAAAGGAAGGTGTAGCCAGGGAGGGTTGGTCTCTTCTCCCAAGGAACAGGTGATGGGACAAGAGGAAATGGCCTCAAGTTGCCCCAGGGGAGTTTTAGGATGGATATTGGGAACAATTTCTTCGTGGAAAGTGCTGTCAAGCCTTGGAAGAGGCTGCCCAGGAAGTGGTGGACTCGCCATCCCTGGAGGTATTTAAAAGACAGGTAGACGTGATGCTGAGGGACATAGTTTAGTGGTTGACTTGGCAGTGTTAGGTCAATGGTTGGACTCAATCTTAAAGATTCCTTCCAATCTAGACAATTCCACAATTCTATGAATCTTTCCTCCATCAGTCTCTCCCAGGGTCGCCCGGAGCATCCCTGAAGGCAGCACGCAGCTGAAAAGGATCCCTCGCAATTACGTCCCTCACGCTTGCGCCGCTTCCAAAGTTTACATTTCCCCTTGGCTGGTATGACTCACACGCGTGTTGGGTCTTGCAGTTCCCCTCTCCCTCTTACAGCCCAAGAACACACGTTACCAGCCAGCTCCGGAGCTTGTCACGTTTTATACCGGCTGGAGAGATAAAGCTTGTCACCACCTGGAGGGGATTACAGCCGCTGTCTTTCAGCAGAGCCCAGGAGGAGGGAAGGAGAGGCAACGAGAGACTTGCACAGCTCTACGGCCTCTTTGGCCGTGCAGAGCTCCACGGCGTGGTTTTTTTG